GACAATCTGCTCTCTTTCTTGATTCGTGGGGTCGTAGGGTCATTCCGTGTCAACTCAACCAGAGGTCCCCGGCTAAAATTTTAGATTTTGCTAATATTTATTCTAAAGAAAGATAAACATGTATAGTGATAAAAGCCAAAATCTTAAATGTCATGGATGAATATTTACCGAGTAATCCACTATTTTGTAGAGGCGGGTCAAAATGGCAAATTTCACCTGAGATTACAGGGGGGTATACAAATGACTTAAGGAAGATGGCGGCATCATTGTTACTTTTACACAGAGATTGGTAGGTCTATTAGTAAAATAGTATACAAAGTGACCAACATTTGGTTTTCAACCACTGAAAATGGATATTATTTAACAGTCTGAATATGGGGCCTCATTGAGGTCCCCCATATCTCTGGGACTAAATGATACAGGGCCTTGAAAATAACGATTCCAAAAGAAAATTTTATTAAGAACTAGAATCTAAAATTGTATTGCGATATATTTAATACTTCTTGAGTTATAGCCACACAAACTTTGAAAAAAAATATATACATTTAGTTATTTCATTTAGCAGACGCTTTTATCCAAAGCGACTTACAAAAGAGGACAATAGAAGCAATCAAAAACTAACAAAAGAGCAACAATATGTAAGTGCAAATGACAAGTCTCGGTTAGCCTAATGCAGTACACGTAGCAAGGTATTTATTTATTTTGTATATATACACACACACAAAAAGAAAAACAAGTAGATAGAATAGAAAAAATAGAAAGCTAGAGTTTTTTTTTTAATAAAAAAAAGATAAATGGATAAAGTAGAATTAAAATAGAATAGAAAGTGCTAGAGTTAGAGGGTCAAATAAAGATAGAAGAGATGTGTTTTTAGTCGTTTCTTGAAGATGGCTAAGGACTCAGCTGCTGGGATTGAGTTGGACAGGTCATTCCACCAGGAGGGAACAGTTAATGTAAAAGTCTGTGAAAGTGATTTTGTGCCTCTGGGATGGCACAATAAAGCGACGTTCACTTGCAGAACACAAGCTTCTAGAGGCACATAACTCTGAAGTAATGAATTTAGGTAAAGGGGTGTAGAGCCAGTGGTGGTTTTGTAGGCAAACATTAATCTCTTGAATTTTATGCGCGCAGCTACTGGTATCCACACGCATATCAGAAGTCAGATAGAGCTTTATTGCCAAGTATGTTTGCACATACAAGGCATTTGTTTTAGTGTCACAAGCTTCCAGTACTTATCAATCACAACTCCAAGGTTTCTAGATGTTTTTGAAGGAGTTATGGTTGATGTGCCTAACTGGATGGTGAGATTTTGATAAAGTGATGGGTTTGTTGAAACCACAAGCAGTTCTGTCTTAGCCAGGTTGAGTTGAAGGTGATGGCCCGTCATCCAGCAAGAAATGTCTGTTAGACAAGCTGAGATACGAGCAGCTATCGTCGGATCATCGGGATGGAATGAGAGGTAGAGTTGAGTGTCATCAGCATAGCAGTGATATGAAAAGCCATGTTTCTGAATGACAGAACCTAGTGATGCCATGTAGACAGAGAAGAGAAGTGGTCCAGGAACTGAGCCCTGAGGCACCCCAGTAGCTAGATGTTGCGACTTGTACACCTCACCTCTCCAAGATACCTTTAAGGACCTATATATATGGCACTCAGACAGGTATGTTCAATATAGTTGTTTTGACAGAAAGAAACAAGATACATTTCTAGTTTCAACATTATTTGTTCTTCAGACATTCCTCTTTAAAAGAAAAGAATTATCATATTTTTGCAAAGTGACCCGCATTTGGTTTTTGACCACTGAAAATGTGTACAATTTACAAGTTTTCTCCTGGAGCCATATTGAAATTCAATTATCTCTGGAACTGAACCATATAGGGCCTTAAAAATTTAAATGCCAAAATAAAAGTTTGTTAAGACCCAATATCTAAAAGGGCATTAAGATATTTTTCATACTTTTTGAGTTACAGGCCTGCAAACTTTGGAGAAAAAACTTGAAAAGTGCTCTTTCCCCATTTTTGAAAGGTCACCATTGGCACATAATGCAACAAAGATTGCTAAATTCAACAGATTTTACTAACAGACCTTCCAATCTCTGTGTAAAAGTAACATTATGATGCTGGCATCTTTCTGAAGTAATTTTTACCCCCCGTAATTTGGCTCTGAGTCTCAGGTGAAAATTGCCATTTTGACCCCCCTCTACAAAATAGTGGATTACTCAGTTAATATTCATCCATGACGTTTAATATTTTGGCTTTCATCACTATACATGTTTATCTTTCTTCAGAAAAAATATTAGCAAAATCTAAAATTTGAGCCGGGGACCTTTGGTTGAGTTGACACGGAATGACCCTATAGCGTATTCTTCAATCGCTCAGGTAATGCCAGTTTATGGAGTAATGTGTTGTGTAATTACTTTTTTTTTTTTCAGATAAGGTCATCCATACCGCATAAGAATGAGCTGTGATGTAAAAATGGAGTTTATTAAAGAGGAGAATGATGATGATACATGCCATCAGTGTGGAAAGAGCTTCACAAGTAAAAGAAACCTCAAAGAACACATGAGAATTCACACTGGAGAGAAACCGTTCACATGCCCTCAGTGTGGAAAGAGTTTCAGACAGAAAGAATGCTTTATGATTCACATAAGGGTTCACACCGGAGAGAAGCCGTTTGCGTGTCAACACTGTGAAAAGAGTTTCACGAGTTGAGGAAGTCTTAACATTCACTTAAGGGTTCACAATATCGAGAAACCATTCAAGTGCCCTGAGTGTGAAAAGAGTTTTGGACGTAAAGACCACTTCAATCGTCACATGAGAATTCACAGTGGAGAAAATCCATTCTCATGTCCTCATTGTGAGAAGTATTTTTTAACTAAAACCCACCTTGAGAGTCACATTCGAATTCACACTGGAGAGAAGCCGTTCACATGTGATCAGTGCGGAAAGAGTTACAAATGGTCAAATAGTCTCCGAATTCATAAACTCTTTCACTCCGGAGAAAAGCCATTTAAGTGTGATCAGTGCGATAAGAGGTTTGTTCTGGAAAAAGACCTAAAGGCCCACATGAAAACTCACACTAAAGAGAAGCCTTACTTGTGTTCTGTTTGTGGGAAGAGTTTTGCATGGCTGATACGTTTTAAAGACCATCTAAAAATCCACGCTGGTGTGAAAGAGTATTTGTGCAAAGACTGTGGTAAAGCCGTTACTGCAGCCACTCAGCTGAAAGTGCACCGCAGGATCCATACTGGAGAAAAACCTTACAAGTGCTCGCATTGTGAGAAGAGTTTCAAACAGTCAGGAGCCCTAAAAGACCACGAGAGGATCCACACTGGAGAGAAACCATTCCAGTGCCTTCCGTGTGGCAGAAGATTCACTCACTCCAAAACGGCACAGATGCACAGAAAGAAGCATTGTCCCAAATTAAAGTCAATATGACTGGAGAAACGAGCTTAAGAGCTCAACAGTTCACGAGTGCTGAGTTATTGCCCTTGTTTTACTCTGTTTGGGATTCGAAATGTGAAAAATGTTCAAACACACCTTACTGAGCCTGCAGTCTTTCATATAATATAAATGACATGTAGTAAAGTTACAAATCTTCATTATTATATGATTGTTCATACACTTGCATTACTGTAATTGTTTCTTAGAATTCAATGCTGCTGCTGAAAAGGAACAAAATGAGATCCAGTTAAATGAGATTCTGTTAAAACATTCACTTGTAGAGATGGACTTTTATTAAAACATATTCCAACGTGAGCACTGCACCCGAGTCATTCTTACGTGCACATTTGAAGCTCAGTGTCTTTATATCAGTGCAACGCTTCAGTAATGTTTTCTTTTGGCATTTTCTTTTCTTGTCACTTACTATCACTGAGTGAATTTACTAATTTACTTTCAAAATTACTACACTAATAACACGGGCTATAGTTATAATCAAAAGTATAATACTAATATTCATAAGTAAGAACACCCAGAAATAAATATTTAGACATGAAGTAATCATCCATTCTTCATTTCCTTCCACCCCTTTGTGAGCTGATACCCATAAGAAATAATTATTCCTTCCCTATTGATGTACCTTGTATAAATTCTATAGAATAATAGAATGTCTTGTGTTGATGAAGATTTACCATTCAGTAAATGTTAGAGAAACACAAAAGGAATCTGAGCATATTTAAGGGATGAGTCTCTTTCACCCAAAATTAACTGCAATAATTCCTGCTGTATAAACTGATAAATGACTTGATGTCCTTTTCTCTAACATGTTAATTCAGCTCAGCTTATGCCCATTGTAGGGGTTTTTAACAAGCCTCCAGTGAATCAAAGAGCTGTCAAAAAACTGTAAAGTAAAACACTCTGGTTACTAGGGTTGCAAAGGGGTGGAAAATGTCCAGAAACTTTAAAAAAATCCCTGGAATATTCCAAAAAATCATGGAAAGTTTCCAAAATTTCTGGAATATTTCTGAAATATACTGGAGATTTTCCACCTTTTTGCAACCCTACTGGTTACTGATGTAACCTTGGCTCCCTGAGATGACAGGAACGAGCATTGCATTTACCACCAGCCTATCTGACACAAAGATATCTCCAACAGAGACTCTGGACAAAGCTCAAGAGGAGGCCATTCCCCTGGCACTTATTACCCAGTGAGATCATCTCTGCTTCATAACTTCATAGCAGCCTCTAAAGCACACAAAGAGCTACTCTGATTGCTGAAACCGGCTAGAGCATTCTATATATACCAATGCTTCTGGTTATAATAAGAAATATTCCAATTTTCGGGTTGCCATTAACTCCTGTGAAGCTGTAAAGTATATCATCATGCGTATGAATAAAACTTGTATTGTGAGCTTCCAGAATGCAAACTATTATTGAGTGTATGTGAAATGCATTTGTCAGAAGCTTTTGTCTTCTTTAAAAAAACAAATACAACAAAGAAAATGGCAAAATTGAAGTTTCACATTATCAGAGGAATTTGTTTCTAATGAAAGTATTTTACATTTCTATTTGTACATCTGTGAAGGAAACTGGTGCTTCTTCTTCCTGCGTCTCGTGTCCGGAAGCTTACAAGTAAGACTGAAGAAAGGTAAGGTCTTCCTATCTTTTACTTTTTAATTGTTTTAATTCATTTCAGGAGCGCAATAACAACCCTTTTTTAAACAGGATGGCATTTCTACAGTGGGACATTAGGTCAAACAGGCTAGAGTGCCAAAGAACATTTAGATTAACTATCTATTCACTGCAAACTATTGAACTATTGCCACATCAACAGCTGACATAAAATCAACTGACATGACTGGAGTGTTTTAAAGCGGCAGCGCATATCCTTTTACAAAAGCCATGCATAGCTAATTTATATGTTCATATGAAACTATTTAATATATGAAAGTTTTCACGAATGGTATCTTCATGATCTCTGTAGGAAAATCCGCAAAATAAAAGATATATTTGATATTTCTCCCATCAGCGAACATGAACATGATAATATAAATGACTCTTTCAAAATCAAGCGAAGCCAAACAGCCAGTTAATGTAGCTGGTTAAGGCAGAATACTTTTGGCCGTGAGGTTGCAGGTTCGCACTTGCAAAATTGTACACACACACACACACTGTATATATATATATATATGATATCCAAGGTTGCATTTAGTTTGAAATTTGATTATTTTATAAATGCAGTGAGCCCCGATAAATGCAATTTCTAAAGTGCTTCTTTATAATGAACATCACTTTCTCAATACTTTACCCGCTCTATAACGCAGTGAAAGAGCTCCTGTATTGAACAATCGATGCTCGAGCCATCGATATCAATCTATTCAGCACCACCGCCATGGACAGTACCTGCTAATGTCGCATGTAAGAAAGCTTTCTGGCGCATCTTGTTATGTCTAAAGGTCTACTTAAATAAAACAATCGAAAACAAATTTGTGTTTATTTAATTCGTGTAGCCTAAATCCAACAAGAGGTTCTGTACAGTCTTCCGTCTGAGCTCATCTGTGTTTTGTGCTCACACCCAGCGCAGCGCAGCCTATTCCTTCAGTTTAAAGCAAAGCCTGGGATTTTAGCCAGAAGAAGAACGCGATGCGCGGTGCTATGCGCAGCTTGATTCAGCTAAAGATATCATTTAATAATATATAATCACTAATACATAATTAATATATAATCAGACTAAAGTATCAAAGCTGCCCACGCATGTGAAACAAATATTGCAGCATAAGCTCATTTGTTTACCCACGAACAAAAATAGGCCTACGAAAAACCTAGCTTAATTTTCGTTTGCTCGTTTTCAACAATTATTATTCTTATTATTCTTACTATTAGGCTATTATTCTTAATCTTATTCTTATTTGGCTATTATTATTATTATTATTGTTGTTGTTATCATTATTATTATTATTAGGCTATTATTATTACACTCTAAAAAATGCTGGGTTGTTTCAACCCAACTTTGGGTCAAATATGGACTAACCCAACTTTTGG